AGCATGTTAGGCAATTTGGTTCATATATTTATAACATCAACGTCTCTACAAAAGAACCCATGCGCTGTTTGTAGATCCATCCCTACACAAGGATTATAGATAAGCATGCATGCACTTGAGTTTGCAAATGTAAGAGCATACGAAGCTCCCTTGAACTGAGTCAGCCCCCTATGTCTTTCAAGATCAATACTGCCAGCACGGACTGGCAGCTTTCCTCCGAGGCTTCAGGCAGGGGGACATTTCCAGCCATGGCTGGAAACTGAACCAAGGACCTTCTGCATGTGAAGGAAGTACCACACCAGTGAGCAAGCGTCCCTCTCCCTTCTCCTCAATCACCATGAAAGGTAAGCAAGCTTGATACTGATTCGTTTGCAATGACTGAGTCAGTCCCCACTCTCTCTCCCCCAGCAAACCCCTCCAAATGCAAACATTTCACCAGTCCAATATGCAAAGATTTTCGCCGCTGGCAAAGGCAGTTTTAAACAGTGTCTGTACGGATTAGCCACACCGTGGCATCCAGGAGTAATTCAAATGACGGTCATAACAGCCAGCGAGGAGGCATTAAAAAAAAAATTAAGAATATACAAAATGACAACCACGAAAGGTTGACGACGGTTACCTCTACGCATTTGTTCAACGGATATGACGGCTGTCCGGGATTCCAAACAGAGCCTTCTCTGCTAATCCATAGTGAAAGAGCCAACGTACGCCAGTTTTAACCCGCATCCCTCGTTCCAGGTAGCAAAGTTTGGAGGAAAACCAAGTGTTCGACTTGGTTGCAACGAATATTCAGAGCCTCTGAGATCGGTGCAATAGCGCATAGTAGGCAATGCGTGGTCCCATGTATTGAATCCAGCTGGGGTGCTATCGGACCCCAGGATCTCACCAGCACCGTTTGTTCCAACGTGGCACAGGATTTTGGGAAGGGTGGGTGGGGAAAGAAGATGGAATCAGGATCAGCCCTGTCCTTACACACCACCAAGCACTCACACAGTTGCCCCCCAAATGAGACCCACAACATGCCAGACACGTGTTCTACTCCAGCGGCTACTGAGGACTGGCGCATGTGGTTGGTGCTTGGGTACACCACAGGAGGAGAAAGGAACTTGGCACACGTCCATTTTTCTCGTGCCACAAGCAAAGCAGAAATCTCTTGGGGAAGGTTTGTGTGTAGGGGGGGAGAACCTTCTTGCTTTCCCCTAAACAAGCTAGCATGGAAAAAATAAGGCCATGCAAAAGGGATCTCCTCTGCAAGAAGAGGTGCGAATGACATTTTGGGAAAGCAAGGAAATCTATGCTGCTGTGATGCATGTTTTCACCGTCGCGTTTTTCCCAGGGTTGCAATTTCATACAAGCCACACACACACACACACACACACACACACACACGGGTGCCTTCTTTCCTTCATCGCCCCTCTCCGAACGATCTTTGCTGTGCAATCTCCATTCCCCCCCCCTTGGATGTTTCCCCCCACACACACACACACCAGCACCAACCTGGCTTCTCCCCACCCTCTCAAAGAGGCTGCCTCCATCTTAAATCGGTTCAAAGCCAATCCAGAGAATTCTGCCGGGGCTGGCTTAGCCCTTCCAATCTCAACATCACTGAGCATCAAACCATCGCTGGCCATCAACCATCTCCCCGCTCTCCTCCCCACTTCAACCAATTCAAATTGTTACAATCTAGCCCTCCACCCTCCTTATTTCACCACCAATATATATAAATATATATTTAAGGCAGTCATTAAAGGAACACATCGGTTAACCCTCCATTTCCTTTCCTCCTCCTCCTCCTTCTAAACTCCTTCTGTTTATACATCTTCATCATACACACACACATAAAATGATTGCAAGGAAGAGAGCTCAGTTTGTTCCACTTGCTAATTTCATGCGCACATGTGGATGAGCAAGGCATCCACGTACGCACATAGGCACATCTCTAAGGCAAGGGGCTTCCTAAACCATTTCATCTTCCAAACTTTATTCTACCCTCTCTGATTCAGATTACGTAAGCCCAGAGTCTCTCCAGAACGCCTCGTGCGCTCTCAGATCTCTGCACAAAAACTTGAGACGAAAAAGAGCGCTTTGGCATCTTGCTACGACCACCCCCTTTTAAATTCAATTTGCAAAACCCCCGAGTGTTTGGCGTGTGCACATAAAGATGCATGACGACCACATTTGCGGGAAACAGTTAGGTGGTGGGCAGGCCTGGGTGGGTGCACCGGAAAAGGCTTTCCTTGCAGCCCCCTCCCCCCTCCCCCGCAATTCCTTCTCCATCTTCTCCCTGCAAAGGTTTCCCATCTTAGCAAAGGTCTCTCCAGGACACCCTCTGCATCTTTCCCCACAGTTCCTCTCTAAAAAGCCGAAGCCAACCCTACCCTAGAGCTCCCCCTCTGTCCGGCAGTGGTATCGACTGTCCTCCTCTGTTACTCCGGGTTTCACGTAGCCAAACCATGTGGGTGGAATTTGGGGAGGAGGGAGGTGTAAGGACAGGGAGGGGAGGAGGGAGTCTAGCTCCACATTCACAAATCCTCACGTCAATCCACACGTGAGCACTGTCCTACAGGGGAAACCCGTGGCCACCCTCCAGTGTGAGATGCGAGGTACAGGTGTTCAGATTGGGGCATCAGTACTTTCTCTGGGATATTGCTGTTTGGGTCTTCTCTTGAAGAGATGGCCCTAAAGGCCCTCATTGCTTTGTGCATAGCAGGTAAAGAGAGAGAGCCCTTCTGGGCCTATATATAATGTTGCATTTGGGAGGTAAACCACCCTTTGGTGGCTACAACTCTGAATTCCACACGCACACCCTTAAAGATGCCGCCATCTCTCCACTATGTGCATGTCTTAAGGAGGGAGCCATCTCTCTGTTGCCCTACTTTCTGCTCACACTTGCATGTGCAGAGAATTTATCTGGACATCTCAAATCATTAAAGCCCATTCTGGAGGACTCTCCAACGGCTCTCTCTCTCTTTGGTACAAATGCACTTAAATATTCTTTGTCACAGGCCATAAGGAAATTCTGTCTTCTAGCCCCAGAAAAATTCTGGGTAAGGTGCTTTCCTTTTTGCACCCCACAGCTGTCCCTGTTTCAAGGGTAGAGCCCCCTATGTCCAATAGGGGGAGAGTGATGTTGGGTTACAACCTTGGTGCCTTCCAAATGGAGGAGGGCTGAAGGGAGAAGATGCTCCCCTGCCTCTTCTCCCAGGTCCTCAACTGGTGGGTCAGGACCTACAACTAGGTTGCAGCCTGACCTGCAGTTCACCACAACAGGAGCATTGGCGCCATGTGAATCTTCTTACACACAGAAAGAGAATAGGCTCCATAAATGCATGGTTGGGTTCAAGGTATGACCAGGGTCCAAAAAAGGCCTCTTCCAGGAAATGCTTACAAAAGTCCTATCATCCCAGGAGGCATCTAGGGTGGAATGTCTTTCACCTCTCTGCTATGGTGGCTTTAAGGCATTTCATTCCACACAAGGTGACGAGGCTCTCAGGCCTTGCAGCTGCTGTTGGACTCCAACCCCCATCAGCCCCTTCTAGCAGGACCAATGGTCCAGGGGATGATGGGAATTGTAGTACAGCAGTATTGTAGAGGACCAGCAGTTGGCCTTCCTATCCTTTGACTTCATACCCTCTCCATCTCCAAGCCTTGGAGAATGCCAAATTCCCCACCCCACAATCACGTTTGTGGGGCAGTCCTCCCTATGTCCACCTGTACAAAACGATACCATGTTCTAGAGGCTGCGCAGAACACCCTTTCTCTCTAGACCAGATCTAAGGACACTTGGCCAGACGTCTTCTTCAGGTGACCCGCTTTGTGGAGATGCCCTTGAGCCTGCCAATTGCCCCAGAATATCACCTCTCCTCTGTGCCAGTATCCAAGGGCAACTATACCCATGGGTCCTCTCTTATGGGGTGAACTCAGTCTTTGGAAGGGGGGAAATCCCTCCTCACCCCAATATCCGTGAAACTTATATAGCAGTGTGCAATTAAATTCCTTCTTCAAATATCCCAACTGCACTAGCGCAATCTGGGAGGTGAGTCTTGCTGCTTTTGGGGGGTGGGTGATGGGGATTAAGTTTGGGAATAGGTATTGACTAGGTGTGCTTTGAAAGCACCCCCTTTTCCTTCTACACCCAATTATATACTGTGTGTGCTTCCTTTGCAAAAAAAAAAGTGGGGGAGGGGAGAGGGCTCCAGGTACATGTCTACTCTAACCTGTTATCTGTTTATTCTGGTATCCTATTTCCTCATAGTGCATACAGGAAATATTCCTAAGGAGGGTTATGCCTGTATCCTTCACCAAAGTGAATGCTAAGACTAGCTCACCCTATCTCTGGCCCAAATTCTGGTGGCTGGCCTCCCATTGCTCCAGAACCTCTTGAATCAGAAGATGCGATCACCTTTCCCTACCTGTGTCTCAGGAAGGGGGTGGGATTCGTCCCCAGTCTCTCCCATGACTCCAGTAGATGCATGTAGAGACAGGAGGGGGGGGTTACACCTCTCTCTCCCCCCACCCGGCCTGGGTCTTCCTTCTCTCTAGGAATAAGCTCATCCAGACAGTTCTGCAGGGAAATCACCTTGCTCCACCTGTCACCTGTCTGCCTTCCTCCTTTCCCTCACCCTCCAGGTGCAGAAAGGAAGGAGGGGGGTCACCCTTTCCAGGGGCAAAAGATGTGCAAAGTGGGGGGGCTTCCTCTTGCCTCCCCCACCACTGTCCCTCATGCCCTTCTGAGAAGTGGTGAGGGTCACTCTCCTGTCTCTACTTGGAACGAGGGGATCTTGCTTCCTTCTTCAAAGGCCTTCATGGGGGGAGGTAATAGAACACCTTTACCTGAGTGCATCCAATAACCCTTTGAGGTCATCCTTCCTCCACCTGCCGTTTGAAGACTGGCCTTGTCCAGCCTGCCTCCAGGTACATACATATATTTGGGAGAGGGGTATAGACAGAAGCCTAACCACCCACCTGCAGAGAGCCCCCCACCCGCCCTGCCAGCCCGCTTACCTCCAGACCTGTCCCATCTGCAGCAGGTGAATGACGGACTGCCAAATCCAGACGGAGAGCCTGCAGAGGCGCTGAGCTCCGGGCGTGCCTCCGGCGCCGTGGTAGTGGCGATGCCCGGCGCGGCGGCCGGCCCCGACGGATCCCATCATGGGAGGCCCTCGGCTGGTGAGGCCCTGCACGGCGCCCAGGCCTCCTCCGGTGTAGTCCTGCACGAACCATCGGAAGCTGAGGATCTGCACCAGCACCGAGGGCAGCAGCACGAAGGCCAGCGTCAGGCCGCACCACAGGTAGTCGCGGCGGCCGTAGTGGTCGAGGGCGAGCCAGAGGTCGGTGCCCACGTCGCCCACCAGCACCAACAGAGCGAGCACGATCCACAGGCAGTCCAGCCACGGCCGCTCCACCGCCAGCCCCGCCGCCGACGGCCCATCGCCGCCTCCGCCGCCGCTTCCTCCGCCGCCACCTCCGGCCCCCGGCGCCAGCGGGTCGGTGGCTCCGGCCCCCGACCCGCTTCCTCCGGCCCCCCGGCCCAGCAGGCTGCGCAGGCAGGCGCTCCGGCAGCCCCAGTAGCACGACGACGTGTTGCAGCAGTGGCAGATGTGCATCGAGCTGCTCTCGCCGGCCTCGTCGTCCGAGCTCCCGCCGCCGCCTCCGCCGCCTCCGCCACCACCGCAGCCCCCTGGCCCGCGGCGGCGGCGGCGGCAGCGGCAGCGGCGGCCCCCGGCCAGGTGATGATGATGGTGGTGGTGGTGATAGTGGTGGTCGTCGAGGTTGTGCAGCTGCGAGAAGCCGCTGCCGTCCGACTTGGCCGCCATCACCTCCGCCGCCGGGCCCCCGCCGCCGCCGCCGCCTCCTCCACCGCCGCCGCCGCCACCGGGCTCCCCCGCTGCTGCCCGGGCCGGCAGCCCGGCTCCCTCCGCCGCCGCCGCCGCCTGCCCGGCCGCCTGCCTCCCCTCCCTCCTCCTCCTCCTCCTCCCCCGGCCTCCTCCTCCGCCTCCTCCTCCTCCTCCCCGCCGCTTCCTTCCTGCCGCCCCTCCCTCCCGCCTCCCGGGCCCCCTCCGGCCACAGGGCTCGGGATGCCCTCCCCGCCGCCGCCACCGCCGCCACCCACGGCCGCCTCCTCCGCCTCCTCCGCCGCCGCCCTCCTCCTCCTGCTTTCCCCTCCGCTTCCGGGGGAGGAGGAGGGAGGCGCTACAGACCGGCCGGGCCCCCCATCTCCCCTCCCCACCGCCCGCCTGCTCGCGCTCGCCGCCTCCTCCTCTGCTCAGACCCGCAAGCAGCAGCCGCCGCCGCCACCGCCGCCGCCGCACAGGAAGGGGCTGGCAGGCAGGCAAGGCAGGCTGGCTAGGGGACCCCTAGTGCCAGCGCCGGGGAAGAGCCGCCAGGCGCTCAGCCGAGGAGGAGGAGGAGGAGGAAGGCGACCACTGGACACACCGGCTGGCACGTCCGCCACGGCCGAGAAGAAGCCCCCCGGCCGCCTGCGCCCAGGCCCGCCCGGCCAGGCCGCTTTGCAGCCCCCGCCACGCGCGCCTCTGCGCCCCTCGCCTCGTCCATCCCGGGAGAGGCGGCCCCTGCGACGCCGCGCTAGGCGCCCCCCTGGCCCGGAGAGGCCTCCCGCGGTGCGGGTGGAGGGCTGGGGGTGGAGATGTGTGCTTCCGGGCGCCCTCCGCAAGGGGGCGAGGGGCGCCCTCCGGGCTGCGTGCAGCCTGCGCCGGCTGCCTGCCTCTCTACCTGCCGAGCGTAAGGCCTGCTCTAGAGGCGCCTTCTCCAAGGAGACACCCCCGCCCCAGGTTTCCTCCTTTGGAATGAGTATGTGACCCCCACTCCGAAGCGCTTAAGGGGGGGGTCTTCTTCCTGCACACACCCCCGGCTATGCCAACCGCCCCAAAGATGCCCTGCAAGCAGGAACACCGGATTTTCCCCATGCCACCCTCCCGCTTGAGTTATTTCAGAAAAGCCGGTCTCCATCATAGCACGATTCCTTTCCGTTCTCTTCCTCCATGTCAGCTTTCTTAAGAACATCACAAGAGCCCCATGGGGCCGGATCCGGTCCAAGGCCCACCTAGTCCAGCAACCTGTGCTGACTTTATTCATCTGGGTACCTTTTGCAAAAGCACAGATGCAAAGAATGCGCTAGATCACTTTCTCCTCTGTTTCCTCCTCCTCCTCCCAGCTCTGGAACATCCCCAGTGCTAAATTATATAATCTGTTTTGCATGCAGAAGGTCCCAAATTTAATCTCCAATGGTATCTTCAGGTAGGGCTAGAAGAGAAAACCCTGGAGAGCTGCTACCAGTCAGTGTAAACATTATTGCGCTAGATGGACCCAAAGTTCTGACTGGGTATAAAGCAGATACCTGTTTTCCAGGTTCCTGTTATTTAAAAACGAAACAAAAAAACCTTAGTCATTTTGAGGAAAATCAGAACTTTGTTAGTCTTTACATTCCACACTCTTTCCCCCCTTTTGATTCCTTATTTATTTTTATTTACATCTGTGGTGGGCACTGAAATCTTCTCAGTCTTCAGGGCCTCCAAAGGTCTCACTCTGACCCAGAGCAGCCCACTTTCTTGTAAACTTAACTTTAGCTTACATCCCAGTGGTTTGGAGTAGTGAATAAGTGTCTCTGGTTCTTCCTGTTCCAAGCACACCCACTTAAAGGCATTCACGTCTTTTTAAATTATTCCACTCCTCTAAAACAAAATTGGTTTTCTGCTCCCACCGCTAACTGCACCTCTTATGACAGCAACCAGACCAACCCACTAGTTGTTGAATTGGAAGCCCCACATTCCTACACCCCCCCCAAAAAAACCCCTCTATAGAACCTTAAAAGTTTCTACAGCTCTCATTTTTTGCTCTCCATCTATTCAGATAGATCAGACAGGGTTTGGGCCTGATCCGTTAATGCTCTTGCTATGTTCTTATATTGCTCAGTCCATAGAGCATGAGACTCAGACCAGTTCAAGATCAGAGAGCTGGACTCAATGTCTTCACAGTATGTCTTAGCTCAAGCGGCTTCTGAATCCCCTGAGCGGCTTGCTAGCCTTTGACGGGCATTTATTTCCCTTGATCGCTGTCCGTGGTGCTGAAGTTTTGCTTGCCTTAGTGCCTGGCCTGCATTGCTTGCTAGTTTGCTGGCTGCTGTCTATCCCTGTGGCGTCGTCAGCGCAGAACCATAGCTGTTAACTTTTCCCTTTTCTTGGGAGGAATCCTATTCGGAATAAGGGAATTTCCCTTAAAAAAGGGGGAAAGTTGACAGCTGTGCACAGAACTTTGGGGGAGGAGCCCAGGACACCTCTCAGCAGGATGAGCAGGAGGACCTCCAAGCGCAGCCGAGAAGGCTTACATTTAGAAATAAGTGAAATAATACACATTGCCATTCAAAGAGGGGGCCCCATTGCACATAAGGAAGTAAGCAAAGTAATATGCATTGCTGTTCAGCTCCATGTCGAAATTAATGGACCTAAGTCAGCCTGGATAGCTCAGTTGGTTAGAGCGTGGTGCTGATAATGCCAAGGTTGAAAGTTCGATGTGGACAGCTGCACATTCCTGCATTGCAGGGGGTTGGACTAGATCAGGCAAGGCCAAACTTGGCCCTCCAGCTGTTTTGGGACTACAGTTCCCATCATCCCTGACCACTGGTCCTGTTAGCTAGGGAAGATGGGAGTTGTAGTCCCAAAACAGCTGGACGGCCAAGTTTGCCCGTGCCTGGACTAGATGATCCCGCAGGGTCCCTTTCAACTCTACAATTCTATAATTCGAACTCGTACCCTTTCATGTCAATGGGTCTATTCTGAGTGTGACCAACACAGGATACAACCCTATGGAAGTACTTCAGCATCACACTCTTCTGGTTGTTCTTTCAACGTAAGCCTTTCTGCTTGCAAAATGGACCAATTCTCCCTCCTCTCTCCCTCACTGTCTTGAGGGTCCAGGGTGAACATCAAGGGTGAATTTGGGGGATGGGGGGGTTTGCACAGGGAGGTGCACACTGGTATTCTTTTATGATTAAGCCCTATTATTTATTGCATTTATGACCCACCTTTTCCTCCAATGAGCTCCAGGTGGTGTCTGTGGTTCTCCCCCTTCTCATTTAATCTCCACAACAGCCCTATGAGGTAGGGCCTCGGCCCAGTATACCTGAAGGAGTTTCTCCACCCCCATCGTTCTGCCCGGATGCTGAGGTCCAGCTCCGAGGGCCTTCTGGCGGTTCCCTCCCTGTGAGAAGCAAAGCTACAGGGAACCAGGCAGAGGGCCTTGTCGGTAGTGGCACCCGCCCTGTGGAATGCCCTCCCATCAGATGTTGAAGAGATAAACAACTACCTGACATTCAGAAGACAACTGAAGGCAGCCCTGTTCAGGGAAGTTTTTAATGTGTGACGTTTTAGTGTATTTTTGGTCGTTGTTGGAAGCCGCCCAGAGTAGGGCTGGGGAAACCCTACTGGATGGGTGGGGTACAACTAATAAATTCTTCTTCTTCTTCTTCTTCTTCTTCTTCTTCTTCTTCTTCTTCTTCTTCTTCTTCTAGGTTAGGCTAAGGGGCAGTGAATAGGACTTGGGTGGCGCTGCGGGTTAAACCACAGAGCCTAGGACTTGCCGATCCGAAGGTTGGCAGTTCGAATCCCCACAATGGGGTGAGCTCCTGTTGCTCAGTCCCTGCTCCTGCCAACCTAGCAGTTCAAAAGCATGTCAAAGTGCAAGTAGATAAATAGGTACTGCTCTGGTGGGAAGGTAAACGGCATTTCCGTGCGCTGCTCTGGTTCGCCAGAAGCAGCTTAGTCATGCTGGCCACATGACCCGGAAGCTGTATGCCGGCTCCCTCGGCCAATAAAGCGAGATGAGCACCGCAACCCCAGAGTCGGCCACGACTTGACCTAATGGTCAGGAGTCCCTTTACCTTTTAAGGGGCAGTGACTGGCCCAAGGTCATCCAGTGTGTTTGATGGCCAGGTGGTGTATATGATGCACCAGGTGGTGTACATGTGTATGAATTAATAAAAATAAAATTAGCAACCTACCCTCCTGCCTCATTGTGGGTGAAAAAAAACCAGAGGGCATGTCTTCGGCTGCCCACCAATCTAACAGATCAGTTTCTCCTCTCCCAGCAAAATCTCTCACTAGATGTCTTTCCACATTTAAGCTCTGACTCAGATTCAATGCTACTGAATGGAGGGGGGGGTGAAAGACATTTGAAGTCAAGGCTAGTGAGGGAACAATGCCAAACACAGAGGCTGTGCTTGAGAGCTGTAGTATCCAAACTGAAAAGAACAGTGGCCTTTTACAAATGGTTCGTGGGGAGTTCAAAAGTTGTGTGAAGTTCCCATGCAGCCGACTGCTCTTGAAATACTCAACTTCCCATAGCTCCAGCTGTCGTCCTGGAGGATGGAAGTCAGAACCAAGGCAAATAATTTGGGTATTGGCTGGGCAGGCTCTTTCTGATGAGTGCGCCGTGTGCAGCCAGGTCAGAGGTGATTGTATCCGGAAAATCTTCTGAAATAGGTTCAGCTGGAGTGGAAGCTGCCTGATTTTTTAGCTTAGCAGAAACAGGCCGGTCACCAAGAACTATCTCCCCTCCCAAGTTAGGGAAGACAAGGATATATGAACCAGTTTGGTGCACTGGTTAGAGCAAGGGTCAGCAAACTTTTTCAGTAGTGGGCCAGTCCACTGTCCCTCCGACCTTGTGGGGGGCAGGACTATATTTTGAAGAAAAAAACATGAATGAATTGCTGTGCCCCAGAAATAACCCTGAGATGCATTTTAAATAAAAGCACACATTCTACTCATGTAAAAACACGCTGATTCCTGGACCATCTGTGGGCCGGATTTAGAAGGTGATGGGCCGGATCTGGCCCCCGAGCCTTAGTTTGCCTACCCATAGGTTAGCTTGTCCAACTCGTACCTGGGAGACCAGGGTTCAAATCCCCCACACAACCACGAAGCTCACCAGGGGACCAGCTTAACTTACCTCACAGGGTTGTTATGAGGATAAAAATAGGGATGAGGAGAACCACAAACATCATCTTGTGTGGAGGAGAGGTGGGATTTGACCTATAAAACCCTATAAAAGGCTATCTGAAAGACTGTATCTCCCATACAGAACTGTCTCGACTCTGAGATCTTCAGGGGAGGACCTACTGCCACCCTTACAGGGACACTTGGTAGAGACATGGGAGAGGGCCTTCTTGGTGGCAGCTCTTAGACTTTGGAACTCCCTCCCTAGAGAAGCTAGCCTGGCTCCTTCCTTGCTGTCTTTCCACGGGCAGCTGAAGACAGTTTTATTCCAACAGGCCTTTGGGAACTGAATGGTGTGTTTTTTGAGGGGGGGGGTTAGGAAATGGCTTTTAATAGGGCTGTGCTGTTTTTATTACCTGCCTTCTTTGTCTTGTCTTAATTCTATTAGTGTTTAATTACTTTGTAATGATGATATTTATAGCTTTTTGTATTTCATCCATGTTCTTTCAGTTTGTTTGAGCCACCTTGAGTACTGGTCTGGGGAAAGGGGCAGGATATAAATAAATAAATTAATAGTAACGGCAACAATAAAACGAACAACTGATAAGAGATTTATAAAATGTGGGCAGAAAGCAGATCTCACTCCCTCTTCCCTCTTTTCCCCCTCTTTCATTGACCCCCCCCCCGAACTTGGGTTCACCCAATGGGATTGATTCGCAGGAGATTCAGGACAGATAGAATAATACTATATTAATCTACAACATTTTCTGCAACAAGATGTTTGGTGATGGCCAGTAGCTTAAATGGTTTAGAAAGGGGATTAGGCAAAGATGCAGGGGGAGAAATTATCAGTGGATACTTGCCATGATTTTTATGTGGTAGACCCACATTCTAAAATGTTTTTTTTTTTTTTTAAATCTGCCCAACGTATTTCTGATATTATGCTGTTTTATGTCTGGGTTGTACATGTGTGTGCGTGATATTTTTTCCAAGTTGCTCTGAGTGCTGCAAAAGCCCGGGAAGAGTTTCTTTGTTTGCTTGCTTAAATAAAGCTATTATTAGTATTATATAGATACTATTTTTTATTTTATTGACTTTTATTTTTCTACCTTTTCTTCCTTCTTTCTTTGTTAAATTTGCAAATAAAAAATTAATAAAAACAGCAGCAGAGGAAAAAGAGCTGCACTCCCAGCTTGTTGTTGTTGTTGTTGTTTAGTCGTTTAGTCGTGTCCGACTCTTCGTGACCCCATGGACCAGAGCACGCCAGGCACTTCTGTCCTCCACTGCCTCCCGCAGTTTGATCAAACTCATGCTGGTAGCTTCAAGAACACCATCCAACCATCTCATTCTCTGTCGTCCCCTTCTCCTTGTGCCCTCCATCTTTCCCAACATCAGGGTCTTTTCCAGGGAGTCTTCTCTTCTCATGAGGTGGCCAAAGTATTGGAGCCTCAGCTTCAGGATCTGTCCTTCCAGTGAGCACTCTGGGCTGATTTCCTTCAGAATGGAGAGGTTTGATTTTCTTGCAGTCCATGGGACTCTCAAGAGTCTCCTCCAGCACCATAATTCAAAAGCATCCATTCTTCGGCAATCAGCCTTCTTTATGGTCCAGCTCTCACTTCCATGCATCACTACTGGGAAAACCATGGCTTTTACTATACGGACCTTTGTCGGCAAGGTGATGTCTCTGCTTTTTAAGATATTGTCCAGCTGGTTCTTTACAATTCTCTCCCACCATACAAACCCATGTGGTCGCTGTCCATGGTCCTGAATGGGTATCCCGTACTCTGTCCATGGTGCTGAATCAATAGTGCTGAAAACACATTGCTGTGTTCACGCCTTGGTGAAATGAATGTATTGCGGCTCTTACGTATTTCCCCCTTGAAATTATCAATGCACCTCTACACGAAGTACGAAGCTGAAATTTGGTATACATGTAGCTCATGGCTACCACAAAATAAACGTAAGAAAAATAGAAAAATAGCTCCTGATGTATCAGCCCTGAGGGAGCCTGGCCTTGTTCTAACCTGACTGGTGATATCTCCTCATTCCTCCACTTCCCTACAGATGTTGGGGTTTGAAACTTCTACATGCCAAGAACGTGTTCTGCCACTGGGCTTTTGCCCTTCCCCATCCACAGGGATAAGTTCTGGGCTCCTCAAGAGCAGGATATAAATGTGGCTAGACATCATCTTAAAAAGCAGAGACATCACCTTGCCAACAAAGATCCATAGTTAAAGCTATGGTTTTCCCGGTAGTGATGGGTAGAAGTGAGAGCTGGACCATCAAGAAGGCTGAGCGCCGAAGAATTGATGCTTTGGAATTCTGGTGTTGGAGGAGACTCTTGAGAGTCCTATGGACTGCAAGAAGATCAAACCTCTCCATTCTGAAGGAAATCAGCCCTGAGTGCTCACTGGAAGGACAGATCCTGAAGCTGAGGCTCCAATACTTTGGCCACCTCAGGAGAAGAGAAGACTCCCTGGAGAAGACCCTGATGTTGGGAAAGATGGAGGGCACAAGGAGAAGGGGACGACAGAGGACGAGATGGCTGGACAGTGTTCTCGAAGCTACCAGCATGAGTTTGACCCAACTGTGGGAGGCAGTGGAAGACAGGAGTGCCTGG